GCTTTCAAACCTGGAAAGCTATTATAGCCAGTCCTCTCTTTTCACAATCTTGTTATAGGCAAATGCCAGTTGCCCACAATTCCTAGTGAGATTGAAGCAGTAATTAAAAGTCTTCCAACCAAGAAATGTCCAGGGCCAGATGGATTCAGCTTAGAATTCTACCAGATCTTCAAAGAAGAATTAATACCAATACTCCTCAAATGCCAGTACTTCACAAAATAGAAACACAAGGAACATTGCCTAATTTTTTTTCAAGGCCATGATTACCCTGATACCTAAACAATATAAAATTCCCCTCAAATAAAGAAAATGACAGCCCAATTTCCCTTATGAACATAGATGTCAAAATTCTCAATACAATACTTGCAAACCAAATCCAGAAAAACATAAAAATGAAACCCCACCATAATCAAGTAGGCTTCCTCCTAGAGATAGGCATAGTTCAACATATCTAAATTGATAAATGTGATCCACCACATAACAGACTGAAAGGCAAAAACCACATGATCATTTCATTAGATGCTGAAAAGGCCACTGGCAAAATCCAACACCACTTCATGATAAAAGTCCTGGAGAGAACAGGGATACAAAGGACATACCTCATATAATAAAGGTGATTTACAGTAAGCCCACAGCCAATATCAACCGAAACAGAGAAAAACTCAAGGCATTTTCACTAAAATCAGGAACAAGACAAGGTTGTCCCGTCTCTATACCTATTTCATTGTAGTACGTGAAGTCTTATCTAGAGCAATAAGACACCTGAAGGAGATCAACGAGATGTATAGAAAAATAGAAGTCAAAGTATCTTTATTTGCAAATGATACAATAGTATACATAAATGACCCAGGGAACTTCTACAGCTGATAACTACTTTCAGCAAAGTAGCAGGATATAAAATTAGCACAAAAATCAGTACTTTTCTTATATATAAATGATAAATGGACTGAGAAAGAAATCAAGAAAACAATAACTTTCACAGTAACCTCTAAAAAATATCTTAGAGTAACTCCAACCAAGCAAATGAAAGATTTGTATAATAAAAACTTTAAGAAATTGAAGAAGATATCAGAAGATGGAAAGATCTCCCATGCTCATGAATTAGTAGGTTTAATATAGTGAAAATGATCATCCTACCAAAAGCAATCTATAAATTCAATGCAATCCCCATCAAAATTCCAGCACAATTATTCACAGAACTTGAAAGAACAATTTTTGGATTCATATGGAAAGACACACACACAAGCCAACACCAGAATATCTAAAACAATCCTGAATAATAAAAGAACTGCTAGATATACCACCATCCCCAATTTCCAGTTGTACTACAGAGCTATAGTAATAAAAAAAACAGCATAATATTGGCATGAGAAAAGACATTTTGATCAATGAATTCTAATTACAGACCCAGGCATAAGTCCACATACCTATGGACATATACCTTTTTGACAAAGAAGCAAAAAATGCACACTAGAAAAAAGACAGCATCTTTAACAAATGATGATGGGTCAACTGGATGTTGGCATGTAGAGAATACAGATAGATTCATATTTTATTACCCTGCACAAAACTCATCCATAAATGGATCAACAACCTCAACATAAACCCAGATACACTGACCCTTTTAGAACAGAAAGTGGGGAATAACCTTGAACCTATAGGCATAGGAAAAGACTTTCTGAACAGAGTACTATTAACACAGGCACTAAGATCAACCAATAATAAATGGAACCTGATGAAACTGAAAAGCTTCTGCATGGCAAAGGACACCATGATTTGGAGAAACTGACAGGCTACAGAATAGAAAAAGATTTTTTCCAACTCCACATCCAATAGAAAGTTAATATCTAAAATATATAAAGAACTAAAAATCAACTGGATAGAATGAAAACAAATAAATAATCCAATTAAAAAAGAGGGTACACATCTAAACAGAGAGTTATCAAAAGAGGCAACACAAATGGCTGAGAAACAAGGAAATATTTAATATTCTTAGTCCTCAGGAAAATTCAACCCAAAATCTGTTGGGATAATCTTTTTGTAAGATGTTATCACTGTCCTTGTTCACTTGCCTAAAGTACTTTCTGATTTAATAAAGAGCTGAATGGACAATAGCTAGGCAGAAAGAAGATAGGCGGGACTTCTGGGCAGAAGGATTGTAAGAACCAGTAGGGATGGATAGTACCAAGGAAATAAGGCCTTCTAGACACAACAAGACTGACACATTTATGAACTCACAGAGACTGTGGCAGCATGTACAGTGCCTTCACAGATCCAAACCAGATGGGGTCCCAGCACTAAGAGGGGGAAGTGGACATGATCTCCCAACCCTAGCCAAGAAGCTGTCTCCAATTGACAGCTGCTTGCAAAGGAAAAATTTTCTCCAAGGGAGTCTCACTGGATATACATACCACACTTAAGGGCAGACCCATGCCCAGCAGTAGATGTCTGACACAAAATAAACTCAATAGTATTTTTAGAGATTTTTTTAAATCTCATAATGCTATGGTCATTTTTCACCTAACTGGTCTTTCGTTAAAGTATTATGGTTTCCAATTTTATATTTTTATTAGTTCTCTCCCTCTCCCCCTACTTCTGTGGTTCTAATGCTTTTCCTTAGTGCTTTTTCTCTTTCTCTGATTTGTTCTATTCTGGTGTTTTGTTTTGTTTTCTAAAGACAGAGACAAAGGAGGTATACAGTTGGATCTGGGAGGAGATGAGAGGGTTTAAACCGTGATCAGAAAATATTGTATGAAAACATATATTTTTCAATAACAAAATATGCCAGTTGGTATGTTTCAATTAAATAATGCTAGTCTCCTAATTGTACCCATGGAATTCTAACTGCAATTGTGTAAAGAACAAATGTTGCCTTTAGCTCTTTAGGACACAGATCATCACATAAATAGCAACTGTGCATCATGGTCAGTGACCAGAGCATCAATTCTTCTGGATTCTGCTGCTCAGGTCATACACAGACAGCAAAAGCATGCCATGGCACCTCTTAGTCTACCATTGGTAAACCTGGAAGACATTTTACAAATATCCATAATCAGAATTATCTGGCAAAGACAAAACAATGTACAGGAAATGACCATGATGGAAAAAAAGTGATGCCCTAGAGAAAGGGGCAGCAGTAAAGCCTTCACTTAACAAAATCTCTCCCATATGTATCATAACACCAAAGGCACAAGGGTCCAAGTGTGGAAGATGCGCCACAGTTAAAAGGAATAGAAAAGGTGTTCACAGGACAGATGTTCTAGGAGAGTTTGAGGAGGTGCTCGACTTCCCTCCAGAAGAAAACCCCTTCATTAGCTGCCGTCTTTTCATTTCACATCCCTGGATACAAACACAAAATTGTTCAATCTTTTGACAGAGTTTCTGTCTTTGTTTTTGAGGTGCTGGGGATCGAACCAAGAACTTTGTGCATGCTAAGTAGGCAGTTTCTCACTGAGCAGTAACCCTAATGCTCAGTAGAGTTTTAAAACCGCAATTCTCTCATTGATTGTGAAGGCCAGCTTGCACTGATCCAGCACCTCTGCATCAGAAGCAAGGACTGCCTGTATTTAGCTGAGTACCTTGTTTGGGTTGCTTCAGCTCCTTAAGCCTCACTTTTCTTTTCCCTCTGAACAGTGGGGATAATGACAGTTTCTGCTCCACAGGAATGTTGGGTTAATTATCTAAGTTAATGTTTAGAAAACAATTAGGACAAAGATCTGGTAAGTAGTTAGCACTAATTAAATTACTTCTATTTTGTTGTATAGCTATATCCAAACTTTAAACTACACATTATTAATAGACAATATTATGGCAATATTTCTGATAATTGTATTATAATGATAATACAGGGATGATCTGTGGATATACATCTTGGAACATTTCTGTGAGTGAACTTATTAGATACATTCTTTTTGCACTTTTTTTTGAGACAGGGTATGGTGGTATTTTATTTGTACTGAAATGTGATTTTAATTGTATGTTAATAAATAAAGTTGCCCCGGGGGTCAGAGCTATTAGAGCCATAGCAAAAGCTGGGCGGTGGTGGTGCATGCCTTTAATTCCAGCACTTGGTAGGCAGAGCTAGGTAGATCTCTGTGTGTTCAAGGATACAGCCAGCGTTGGAGACACACGCCTTTAATCTCAATACCATAGAAGACCTGGAGGGCTGTATAACAGACAGTGACGAGGCAGTCATGTGGTTGGTTTTACAACCAATGAGAAGGCAGAACAGAAAGTCTATATAAAGACAAACAGACAGAAAGTAGGTCTCTTTTCGGAGAGGTCTCTTGGCTCAAGAGGCTAGCTGCAGCAGGCGGGTAAGGCTCTTCGCTCTGATCTCTTGGCTTTCTTCTTTGCATTGGTTCTGTGTTTCTTATTTAATAAGACAGTTGGTTACATCTGCAACAGGGTCTTCTTAGCTGGCCAGAAAGTTGCTATTTAGAATAAGTTGGTCTTAAACTCAGAGAAAATGTCTCCAGAACATATAGCTATAAGGCATTTCTTAATTAGTGATTGATGGGATAGGGCCCAGCTCCTTGTGAGGAGTGCCATCATTGGGCTGGTGGTCCTGGGTTCTATAAGAACATAGGCTGCGCAAGATAAGAAGACTCCAGTAAGCAGCACTCCTCCATGGCCTCTGCATCAGCTTCTGTCTCCAGGTTCCTGCCCTGTTTGAGTTCCTGTCCTGACTTCCTTCAATGACAGATTACAATGTGGAAGTGTAAGCCAAACAAGTACTTTCTTTTCCAAGTTGCTTTGGTCATAGTGTTTCATTGCAGCAATAGCAACCCTAACTAAGACAAGTTGGTACCAGGATAGTGGAGTGCTGCTGTGACAGCCCTGACCATGTTGCTTTAGGGAGGACTGTGGAAGGACTTGGGAACTTTGCTCTAGAAAAGCCATTGAGTGTTGAGAGCTCAGAGAGCTGCTCTGTAGGAGTTTGGAAGATAAGAATGTTGAGAGCAGTGCAGACGACGGAGAACTGGCTTGTGATGTTTCAGAGGGAAGCAAAGATGCTACTCGGCCATTTGTGTGAAGAATCTGTGTTGTCTGGTCAGCTGGAGCTGGAGAATTGGCTGTGATTGACAAGAGACCAGAACCACTAAAGTAAAACCTTTGCTTTCCTGGGATGATGGATGCTGGACAGCTAGGGCTGAAGAACCATTTGTGAGTTAGAAGACGCCAGCATCACTGAGGTAAGGTCTTCTGGGAAGTGTTTCCTCAGGCTCAGCACACAGAAGCTGTGTTCCAGAAGCCGCCAAGTGCTGGCAGCAGAACTTGGTAGTGTAAGAGTCACCCAGGTGGTACTGGTTTTGAAGACATGAAGAGGTCATGGAGAGCAGCTGAGGCTTGACACTGTGTAGCAGGGCTGGAGTCCCTGAAGAGAGCCTAGGAGAGCTATTGGTAAAAGTGTAGCCCAGTGGCAGCAAGGGACCCCAGCATTTTGGTGATGCTAGTACCATGGGACCACCACCAAAAAGTTGTGTGTGTTGCAGAGGACAGAGCCACAGAAGTGACCCAAGCCCCCTGGAGGAGCCCAGAAAATGGTGAGTAAATCCCAGATAATCGGATGGTGAGTTATTTATACTTTTCAAGTTTAGTTTTGCTTTATTTAGATTGTAACTGTGACCTGATTCTTCCCTCTTGAAGTAAGAAAGTATTTAATTTATTTTTGGTTTTTACAGGAGCCCAGAGTTGAGAGACTTTGAATTTTAAAAAGACTTTGGATTTTTAAAAAAGGCTGAATTTTTAAGCATTTGAATTTTTTAAAGACTGTGGGATTTTTAAATTTTGGAATGTTTCTATTAATGTGTAATCTTGGGAAGGAAAGAAAAGAGTTGTGGCTTAATGGTGACGTGTTTGTGTGTCAAGTTGACAAGCTTGTGCTGGCTGGTTTGGGTCAACTTGGAACAGGCTGAAATTATCTAAAAGGAAGGAGCCTCAGTTGAGAAAATGCCTCCATAAGAGCCGGCTGTAGGGCATTTTCTAAAATAGTGATTGATGGAAGAGGTCCCAGCCCATTGTGGGTGGGGCCATCCCTGGGCTACTTACTGGTTTTATAAGAAAGCAGGCTGTGCAAGCCAGGAGGAACAAACCAGTAAGCAGCACCCCTTCATGGCCTCTGCATCAGCTCCTGCTTCCAGGTTCCTGCCCTGTTTGAGTTCTTGTCCTGACTTCCTTCAGTGATGGATTACAGTGTAGAAGTGTAAGCCAAATAAACCCTTTCCTTTCCAAGTGGCTTTGGTCATGGTGTTTCATCAGAGCAATGGTAACCCTAAGACATCAAGAATATATAAATTAATACTTAATATTTAAATATAATTAAATGAATGAAATATTTAAACCCATTTCTAAGCCATAACATGCTTCCTCATTAACCTAAAATGTTGTTGTTTTTTTTTGTTTTTTTTGTTTTTCGAGACAGGGTTTCTCTGTGTAGCTTTGCACCTTTCCTGGGACTCACTTGGTAGCCCAGGCTGGCCTCGAACTCACAGAGATCCGCCTGGCTCTGCCTCCCGAGTGCTGGGATTAAAGGCGTGCGCCACCACAGCCCGGCAACCTAAAATGTTTTAAGTAATATTGACTTATAGGAACTTGAGGAATGCATGGAGCCTAATACACCTTCATCCAGTTTCTCCAATAGTAACAGGTTATATAGTTCGTATAGTTTTCATCCTCCTACATGTAAAATTCTATGTGATTTTGTTCCATGTGTAGATTTGTATAACTATCACTACCAAGATGTGGAACCACTTTATTTCTTTGGGGACACTATTGAGTTTGTATTTCCACCAGCCCAATCCCTGTCACCAAGAAGCAAGACATCAGTCTATTCTATGTCTCTGTAACTGTGTCATTTTAAGAATGGTATGTGAGTGCAGCTGTACAGTATTTAACCATTGGAGGCTAGCTTTTCAACTCTGCGTAATTACCTTGAGATCCATCCTGGCTGTTATGCAGGTTCACTCTTTTTTATTGCTCAAGGGTGGCGCATCGCATGTATGGTCCAGAGTTTAACTACTCATCTGTTGAAGGACCTTCGACTGCCCCCTCCCTTTGGGTGTTGAAAGTAAAATATTCTATACAGAATATTTTATACAGTTTTTTATATAAGTGAATATTCTATACAGGTTTTTGTATAAGTATAAAATTTCATTTCTCTGGGAGAAATGCCCAAAAGTCTGACAGCTGGGTTATATGGCAGATACATGTTTGGTTTCTGAAGAGACTACCACATTATTTCCCAAAGTTGTATCATTTTTACATTCTTCCCAGAAATGTATGAATTTCGTCATCTTCCCCTGCTGGGGGGCATTGGGTACTGCCATCATCTTTTTCTTTGGCCATTCTACAGTCCTGTGATGAGCGCACTGGTTTTACTTTGCGTTTCCCTAACACTGAACAGTGCTGACAAGCTTTTATTGCACTTGTTTGTTGTTTTTACCCCAGCCTTGATACAATGTCTCATTTCTTTACACGTTTTAGGTGGATATATACTTTTTCTTCCTCCTCTGTTTCTTCCTCCATCTTTACTTCTGGGGTTTTTATTCAGAATTAATTTTTTTGTCCCTGTATGAGATTTATACAGTTTCTCCTGCTTGGACCTTGTCCTTTCATCTAACCAGGGTCTTTCACAGAGGAAATGTTTCAGTTTTGGTAAAATTCAGCTTAGCAGTTTTTCTCTAATTCTTAAATGATCTTTTTATTGACTTTAAGTGCTTGCACATTACCCTAGCTCGTGTTCTGTTGTTGTGATAAAACACTGATCAGAATCATCTTCGGGGACGAAAGGGTTTATTTGGCTCACAGTTACATCACCAACGAAAGCCTCTTTCGGCAGGGACTCAGGGCAGGAACTTCAGTAGATGCCGTGGCGGATGGAGGAACACCGCTTCCTGGCTTTTCCTTATGGCTTGCTCAGGACGGCACTGACCGCAGTGGGCGGGGCCCTCCTACACCAATCAACAATCGAGAAAACGCCAGCCACACAGACACGCCCACAAGCCAATCTGATGGATGCGATTCCTCAATTGAGGTTCCCTATTCCCAGGTGACTTTAATTTTTATCAAGTTGGCAGAAACACATATTAAGGAAATTAGTCTATGGTTCTCATATTTATTGGAAAGATTTTCTTATTTGTGTTACTTCTGTTTCATATTTTTTTTTTGTGTGTAGCCAATTTGTTAATCTTTCATTTGCTGTCCGTTATGTGCTATGCTTTCCCTAAACCTTTAAAAAATTATTTTCTCATTTGACTTTTGCAATTTGCTCTTTGATTTTGTTCAGCTGCCTCAAAGCATAGGTCTGGCAGAAGATTTCTAATTATTAATATTTACACGCATTCTGTCTTAATGTATCTGTCCCTTCCCTCTTTTCTTCTGCTCTCCTTCTCTTCTCCCTCTTCCTCTTTCCTCTCCTCCCATCCTTTCTCTGCATCTTTTCTCCCTTCTCTTCCCCAGATGACCTTGTGGCTCTTCCCACCACTTCTACCAGGGACTTGTATTTATATATCAGACTTACGGGGCATTTTTACATGGCACCCATTCCATCATTTCAAACTCAAATGTCCTTAAAGAAAGCAATGTTTTTCCACTAAGGGCATCCCCATTTCCAGAGGCAGGGAACTGACCGTCACGTCGACTCTTTTCTCCCATTGAATGTCAATAGTCACAGGCTTCTGCTAATTTTATTGTACAGAGTTTTACTTTTATTTTTGGTTTTTTGAGACAGGGTTTCTCTGTGTAGCTTTTCGCCTTTCCCGGATCTCGCTCTGTAGACCGGGCTGGCCTCAAAGTCACAGAGATCTGCCTGCCTCTGCCTCCCGAGTGCAGGGATTAAAGGCATGCATCACCACTGCCTGGCCAGAGTTTTGTATTGTCCTTTGTATAGTTCAGATGCTAGTCACTGCTAATTTGAGAAGCTGAAGTTGCCCTCCAAACAGTGTTCCTGAGTCTTATCTCTGTAGCACAAATCCTAATTGATTTTAATAATAAAAACTGGGAGTCAGATATAGGGGTGAAAACTGAAAGATCAGAGAGACAAATGAGCCAGCCACAGCCACCACCTCTTACCTCGATTAACTCCTCAGCCTAAAAGAGAGTGAGCTCCTGTCTCCTCTCACCTTATATTCCTCTCTCCACCCAGCCATATCACTTCCTGTCTCCACCTCCCTAGTGCTGGAATTAAAGGTGTGAGATCCCAAGTGCTGGGATCAAAGGTGTGTGCCACCACTGCCTGGCTCTGTTTCCCTTTTAGACTGGATCAATCTTGTGTAGCCCAGGCTGGCCTTGAACTCACAGAGATTGGTCTGCTTCTGCCTCCCAAGTGCTGTGATCAAAGGTGTGTGCCACCACTTCCTGGCCTCTGTGACGAACTAGTGGCTTAGCTCCCCATTCTGATCTTCAGGCAAGCTTTATTTGTTAGATCACAAACCAAATATCACCACATCTCTCTGTCAACACAGTAGCTTATAACAATGCTTCCAGGGTAAAAAACACTCCAAATATGTCATTCTGCCACTCAAAAATCCATAATAAGACTGGATATGCAACTCAGTGGGACAGCACTTGCCTGGTATGTATGAGTCCCTGAATCCCATTCCAACATTGCAGCATCAAAAAAAAAAAATCTACATAAAAGGGAAGTAAAAGGATAATATGAAGGATTAAAAATCATATCTGACTAGGCAAATGAGAGAACAAAAATTTTATGGAAGTATATTACATATAATTCTGGAAATATATTTGAAATTTTGAAAGAATTAATGTTTATCTAAAAAAAAAAGCCATCAAAATTGAACACAGAGAAAGCCTGAACTGGTCCATAATCATGGAGGAAATGGAGAAGATTTGCCATCTGAAAGGGAATGGGACCTGGTACAGTAGCTCTAGGGGAAAAATGACATCCACTCTACCCTGGTAGTGAATGGACAGCCCACAGGAAAAATAAGGTTTATAAAACCAACTGCTGGGGCTTCCATTTCATACAGCAGGCCTGTCAAAGCAACGGGGTGAAGCCGGTCACGTGCCTTCTGATTGCTTTTAAATGAACAACTTTATAATTTTCTCCAGAGAAAATAGGTTGCATATAGAAATGAACAGATGTGGAGCCAGGGCTCAGGTTCCTCTTCATCTATTTTATTTTCCTCTGGAAGCCTCCAGATGGCAGCATGTTCCTGTGGAAGACGATGCTGGGGGTTCCGCTCTGCTTTTCTGTTCACTGCAGTACCCACGAGTCAGGCTGTCAACAGGGGGAGGAGATGGGAGCCGAGGTGGTAGACATGTTTCAGAATATCCTGAACTTTTATACTCTACTCAACTTACCATCCATAAAGAACATCTCTAAGCTGCCAGCTCGCATAGGTAGTTCCCCTGCAGTCATAATAGGAACAGGGATTTTCTTTTGAGCTGCGTTTGTAACACTCTGGTTAGAAAGCTGATTTCTGTTGTTGTTGTTGTTCTCAACACACCATTTGTACAGAAACCATTTTTTATTTTTCATACTTTAAACTAGGCAGTGATAGTCAGCATCACAATTATGCAGATGCTAACATCAGCTAACTGGTCTCTGTGGAGCAATGGCTCTCAACTTTCCTAATGCTGTGACCCTTTAATACAGTTTCTCACGTTGTGGTGACCCCCAACCATAAAATTATTTTGTTGCTACTTCATAACTGTAATTTTGCTACTGTTAGGAATCATAACATATATATCGGATATGCATAATATCTGCTATGCAACCCTGTGTAAAGGTCATTTGACCCCAAAAGAGGTCATGACCCCCAGGTTGGAACTTCCACTGTAGAGTCTCCTCTGCACACTGTTCTATTACCAACATCCCGAGGCTTCTCCTCACAACTGCAGTAAGTGTAAGATGCCTCGGTGACTCACCACACAGGGTCCTGAGCAATCTGCTCCCCCACTCCCCTCAGAGCCCCTCAGTCACTTGGCTGTGGCTTGAACAGGATATGTTCGTTCCCCATCAGGATCTTTGCACTTCCTGGCACTCTGGACTTTCTGTGGCTCACTCACCCAGTCAGGTCTCTTTTCAGCTATCATTTTCCTGGGAGCTCTTCCCAGATCACTACCCCTTTTCCTCATTATATCTTTATCACCCCCATATGGAAAGGATGAAAAATACCTAACACTTTCATGGGTGTGTTTACCAAACAGAATTCCATGGAAAATTGGGACTTTGTATTGTTTCCTTCTGTCTTCCTTCAATCTATGAAAATGCCTGATACATACCACATACTAGGGGCTCAATAATGAGTTTATTGATTGAATGAAAGAATGAAGCAAAGTTCCAGTAACTTATACCTCCATTTCATCTCTTTTGATACAACATGTGGCAGATACTTGGAAAATAGAATCCCAAGCTATTGAGATAGCATTATTGTCAGTAAGTCATTGATATCATTTTCTACATTTTTTTTTACTATTTCCCTCCCTCCCTCCCTCTCTCCCTCTGTCCCTCCGTCCCTCCCCCCCTTTCTTTCTTTTGAGACACAGCCTCTCTCTATAGCCCTGGATGTCCCAGAACTCACTATGTGTATCACGTTGGCCTCAAACTCATGGAGATCAGCCTGCTTCTGCTGGGATAATGGCATGCACCGCCACACCAGCTATTTATTATTTCCTAAGCGTACATTTGATTTTAAAACTGCCCCAAGAAATTCCACAAGGCCCTACCCACAGATGAAAAGCCACAGACCATGGCTATTGAGGGGGGAAGAATTGTTCTTGACTACAAATGAGGTCCCTGATAGGTCCACTCCCAACTGTTATCCCCAAACATACACGCATAGAAACAACCTGAACTGGTCTCAGCATTATGTGTGTGTAACAATAACTAAAAGAAGAGGCCATGAATTGAGACAGGAGTGGAGAGGGGGTATCAGAGGAGCTGGAGGAGGATGGAAAGGGGTAAAAATTGTGTAAATACAGTACTCAGGCATGAAATTCTCAAAAAAAATTAATAAAAAGCTCCCCCTAAAGTTACCAGTGGTCATATAAATTATAGCAGCTAGATATCTTACCTTCAGCATTTATATAATTAAAAGTGGAATCAGCATCAAATTATTCCATAAGAGATCTATGGAATTAATTCCTTTTTTTTTTCAAGACAGGGTTTCTCTGTGTAAGGGCTCTGGCTGTCCTAGAACTCACTTTGTAGACCAAGCTGGCCTCAAACTCACAGAAATCCTACTGTTTCTGCCTCCCAAGTGCTGGGATTAAAGGTGTGCTCCATGACTGCCCAGTCTGGAATTTATTCTTAAAGGAAAGTAATTTCACTGAGAACTTCCACGAGTCCCTAAAAGAGCTTGTCACCAATGTTGGAAGACTATCTGCATTACTAATTCTGGATGATATTTTGTCCTCAAACCAGCTCTCAGGCATGGGATATGCAGGCTGGAGAGAGAAGGGTATAAGTAATTAAGATGTGAGTTCACTCAGGCTGCATCCCAATCACAGCTCTGTTTCTGGTACTGCTAATAGACTGTGCCCTCACCTTGTAAGTGGAACTGTATCCCACATGGACATGTGCAAGACGAAGTCTGAAAAGTTCTGCTAAGTAAAAAGAAATTCATTAAATACTATTTCCGTTTGAATGGGTATAGCTATAATCACAGTATATGAATTCACTAATTAAAGTTGTAATAAAATATTCTATTATAAAGTATATTTAAGTAATTCCTTAACTTCTTCCTTGGTATTAAGAAAAAATTTCCAAGCTGAATTATATTAAATATCTGCTTTGAAGTGGAATCAAGGACTTAATTTTTCATAGTATCTTATGGAGTATTCCTCTTATTTTTCTAAGTGACCAACACCTTAATTTTTATTTTAAAATAGTTTTGATTATTTTGTTCATACTTATAAAATAATAGCAGCTTTAATCTGCTACATGTTTATAATGTCCTAAGCTCTATGCCAAGTCTTGGAACCCAGTTATCTTCGTAATAGTTCTTCAGTGGAGAAAATGGCTTTAACTGTTCACCAAATACAAATGAAGTTTCTTAAGACGGTGAAGGTGAAGAACTGTCTGAACTTGATGACCACACCGCCCCCCCTTTTTGTTGTATTTTTTGACTACAGGGGTCTTGTAACCTACACTGGCCTCAAACATAAGTGCTGTGATTACAAGCATGTACCACCTTGCTCAGTTTTATGTGGTGCTGGGAATGGAACCCAGGGTTTCATGCATGGCAGGCAAATACTGTACCAACTAAGTTACATACCCAGCCCCCGGTGGCTATAACTTCTAATGAAGGAAAACCTGTGTAGCATGGCAAATTGAGTCAAATTAGCATAAATTGTCTGTGCAGGAGAGTACTGAAGCTCCCTTATGCTTTATTTCCATAAAATACTGTGGTATATAAAGATACTGCTGCCCATAACAGTAGTATTGCTCTCAGCATATTTATTTGAACAGACACAAAATCTGATGCTTACCTGTCTTGTAGTTACTTTTCCGATGAGATCTCATTGATTTTCTTTAGCTGCGTCTTGGTTACTTTTCTATTGCTGTGAAGACATTATGATCAAGGCAACTCAGAGAAGAAAGAGTATATTAGAGAGTATAAAGACAAAGGGGCTGACCTTTTCAGAAAGTGAGTCCATGATCATTATGTTAGGGGTCATGGCAGCAGGCAGGCAGGTAGGTAGAGCAACAGCTGAGAGCTTATATCCTGACCCACAAGCAAAAAGTAGAGGGGGGGATCTAACTGAGAATGAAGTGGGCTTTTAAAACCTCAAAGCCCAGCCCCCAGTGACACACCTTCCCCAGCAAGGCCACACCTCCTAATCCTTCCCAAACAGTTCCACCTACTGGAGACCAAGTATACAAAGATATGATCCTATGGGGATCATTCTCATTCAGATTCTACAGACTACTTCTTGCCTTGACTTAACACAGGGTAGTTCATTATAGGAGAGCTTTTTTGATGCAGAAACTAAAATCTCCTCAGTTATATAATAAGACCACAATTTATTTTTCTAGTATGGCAAGGTGCATATAATAGACATCTGTAATTCATTTCTTCTCAGCATCTATTCTCCTATAATGATATGAAATCTACCTCTTTAGGGAACCATCCTCTACCACTGGCTCATTTATATCTATGCTTGGGGTGTGGGGAAAGAACAAGGGGCTGAATTATGTTCTGAAGCTAACAGTTGTTATACAACCATTGAGAGTCATATCTATTAGTTAGGATATCTATTGCTGTTTAAAACACCATGTTCAAAAGCATTTTTGGGGAGGTAAAAGTTTATTTCATATTACACTTCTACATTAGAGGCTACTGTTGAAAGAAGTCAGGCCAGAAACTCAAGTCATGAACCTGGAAGCAGAGCTGATACAGAGGCCATGGAGGAGTGCTGCTTGCTGCCTTGTTCCCCAAGACTTGCTCAGCCTGCTTTCTTATGCAAACCAGGACTCTGCCTAAGGGTGGCACTATCCATAGTGGGCTGAACCCTCCCATATCAACCACTAATCAATAAAATGCCCAGCAGGCCTACAGGCCAATTTTATGAAGGCATTTTCTCAAGATTCTCTTTTGAGACATGTCTAGGTTTGTTTCAAGTTGATAAAAACCAATCATCATGGTCCATGATCCTGGCCAGTTCAAAGAAGGCCAATTACAGCTATGGACATCAGGCTAGATCTTCTGCTAGAACTGCTGGGAAAAGGAAGCTCATCCTCCATTCCAGGGGTTAAGTCTAAGACTGCTCATAAACTATTTTGAATAAGAAAAGTATATTGTTTGAGCACATAAATCTAGCTTTACCTGAAGCCAGAAACTGTCAACATTTTGAACTACATTAACTCAAGTTACTTGACTTTCTTTCATCCATTACAACAACAGCAACACAAATCTTGAATAGCTCAGTAGGAAAGACCACAAACCAGCAGAGAGCAGTGGTTAGTGAAATCCAGGATGACATCATCACGGCAGTTCTTTTCCACCTTCTGCTTTTGAGACTATGGTTAACTACTTAATTTCTCAGTCATAGTTGCTCCGATTTAGAATAGGAATAATAGTAGTCTTGCCTATTAGGACTACTCTCAGATCAAAAAATCAAACAGGTTAGTTTAGGAAACAAGCTTAGCATGCTGCCTGTGAATGATTAGCACTCCCAAATGCATTATGATTTTTATTCCTCGTCAGCTTTAGACATCAAAACACCCAGTCTTGAAAAGGCACCCAGAAGCCTCATAGAATGCTGCTGTTGTCATCTGCTTCTTTGGCCACATTTGGATGCACATCTGGTGTCTCAGTGTATAAGCAGGACTTTAGATCTTTACACCTTCTGTTCTTGTGACTCAACGGTTAATACAGGGAGGCGACAGAATACGACTGCTCTATCAGAGTCATGTTCAACCCTGAAGCAATTTCCATTTTTGTATGCTTACTTGGAGCAGTTTGTAAGATATGAAATCAGTAAGAAGAGACGTCTTCCTGTTAAAGAAGACATTTTCTTAGACCGCATATGCCTTTAAACATTACTACTCAGAATTTTGTTATTTCTCTACAAAGATGTGATTCCAGTATTACAAGGAAGATATTGTTAGTTGTACAATACCCTTCATTCAGCTCTTTTGAAGCAAGTATTATGCATCCTGTGTAAGTATAACCACATGTTACATTGGAGAACTAAGAGGAAGGATGTAAATCTGAGCTTGGTGAGGAAAACCAGAGGAAGACTGACCTTTCTGGTAAATTTTAAAGCTCTTCCCTTTTGACTAGTTTTGGACAATGTAGGCCTGTGTTATAGGAAAACCACCAGAGAATGCAAGTAAAGCGCTAAGTAATTTAATAAGGTTTTTTATATTAAGGTAATTAACCACAGCTTAAAGTAAATAGTTGTACATGTCTCTCAATGTCTCTCAATTGATGGGGCTTTTAATGTCTTCCTGCCTCCCTTCTCACTGTCAGATGGCTTGCTGCTTCATATGTAGCTGCTAGAGTGTCTGAGTTTAGAAGCTGCCCCTTTTCACCCTCTTGCTTCTCCTCCACAGTGGAGAGAGAAATTGAATTTGCTCCAGAATAAATGTAGGCAGGAACAGGCTTTGATAGAGTCGGAGTTTTCCTAGGGTGGATTGGGTGATTTTAGCATAAAGGTTGTCACTTTGTTCTATGCAACCCAAGACTGATGCTTTCTTCTGCATTGTTTTGTTTTGTTTTCAAGCACATCTACATGAGGATGACCTTTGGGTGGTGCTTTTGCAACAAAATTTCCCGGGACTTTTAATGTAGCTGGAATTTGTGCTTACGTGTAATTTATTCTCGATTGCTTATGATCTACCTGTGGATATTTTAATGACAGCAGAAGAAAATTGAAGTTCTGGATTTTGTATTGGAACTGTGTAGTGAGTAGCCATTCCAGCTTTGATCTGGAAGTTCCAACCCCCATTGAGACTTCAGCAACTGTCACGCCTACAAGGCGGGGCCAAGGGAGGTGCCTGGAGACTGGAGAGCTGGATCGGCGCTCTGTTCCGGGACCCTGAACTGGAGAGGTGGACCAAGCAGAGCTCCAAAGAACACCGCTGGACTGCGATACACCTTCCCCAGACCCCGCGACCTACCTATCCCTTAATTTGTAAGTTACGCCATTAAATAAATCTCCCTTTAACTACGTGGAGTGGCCTTAATAATTTCACCAATAGAACTGTTCCAAACTTGCCCTGTCTACTTCCTTGTCAACTGAAGATTTGTGGTGGTCTGTCTCCATGAGATGGCCCCCATAGGCTCTTATATTTGAATGCTTGTTCCGTAGGTGGGAGAACAGTTTGAGGAAGGGTTAGGAGGTGTGGCCTTGTTAGAGGAGGTATGTTACTGATGGGTGGGCTTGGAGGTTTGAAGAGCCTGTATCAGGTCTAGTCCTTCTCTCTCTGCCTCTGACTTTTGGATAAGATGTGAGCTCTCAGCTACTGCTCCAGCCCCATGCCTCTGTGCTTGTGGCCTTGCTCCCTGCCATGATGGCCATGAACTCATGAAATTGTAAGCAAACCCCAATGAAATGACTGCTTTATAAGTTGCCTCGGTCATGGTGTTTCTTCAAAACACTAGAACAGCAGCCCAGACAGGCTTTATAACTATTTTTCTTACTCTCTCTTGCTCACTCTTGCCCAAATGAAATCTTTTAAAACTCTTGAGTTAAGACACATTTTTCCAAGCACTCTCAATGTTCTTAAGGCTTCTCAGTCATTTCATGTATTAATGTGCCTATGACTCAAAATCTAGATTGTGTAAATCTCTCTCCATTCTAATGCCTATCACCACACAATCTTCCCAGAGTATTGGAAAGCTGGCCAAATGTTACTACTTACTGTTCTATATTCCACAGTGCATAAGATCATTGTTTCTAAGCATGCTATCATCTGCTCTGAGGATATACATCTCTCTTTCTCAATCTATGGAAAAATAATATTATTAATACCCCCTTTATACTGTCCCATCTTCTTTTATTATGTCTGGTAGGAAAGTGACTGCACACTTAATGACAGAAGGGCTAATGACTTAAGCAAAACTGGTTGCTCATCCTTGTAGTTGTCTTTGTTTCTCCTCAGACAAGCCTTCTGTGTGTAAATATGTCCAGACATTGTCACATTATATTGGAGTGTTCAGGAAGGCATGATATATCTGTCACTAATGTACATCTATGCAAGGAATTAAAGGAAACACAGCCCAGATTCTCAGTTACATGCACAGGATATAAGATAACAACTCCACGCCTAAATATTAAATGGTTTCAGTCTTTTTTTTTTCCAGGCAGACACATTCTTATCTTGGAGATTCTGTCTAGATATGTGATAATACAGCTTTCTAACTGGGAGCCTTTGATTTCCAAGTTCAGAAGAACATGTTTTTACAGTTCTGTTATTCCCATCCCAGTTTTTAAGCTTTGTTAAAAGGACTCTATTTCAGTGTGTTTTTTTTTCTTCTGTAAGTATTATAATAGGAAACTCATTGTTTGGATGTGTGTATTCCAGATGAAAGTGATTTCACACTCTTAATGAATTACATAAATCCCTTGGGTTTTCTTGAGCTAAATTTCAAGTATTTTTATGTTTTTTAAAATCTCACAACCTTTTTAAAATGATCAGAAATTAATAAAATCCTGTCCCCAAATAAACTGTATATCCTTAATGAGATGTGACAGCAGTGTCTCTACTAATAACTCACAGACTGTGGCACAGGAGTCAAAGGTACCTGAGTATTTCGGTTAAAATGGGATGCTAATGACGCAGCCCTTAGAAGCGTCACTTCAGCATCATTAAATTAGTTCCATGCTGAGAAAGTGTCTCCTTTAAATATATATTCCACCCACTGTCCAGCTAGGCACATGGTTCTGTGATCTGCTTGCTTCAGTAGAAAGAGAGAAAATGGCGTCAGTGCTGTGAGGAGAGGTTCCAGAGTGAAGGGATCACATTTCTATAAATGGAGGGTCATTGGCTAACAAGCCACAGTTATCTATTTAATTCCAAATACTCTCGGAAATGGAAGATAATTTTGTGTTCAATTTTAAGCTGACCTGGAACATTTTTTTTTTTCTTCTGGTAACTAAGCAGAGTACAAAATGCCAAAAAACACCTGTCTGCCATGATTTCATTGCCCACATCCCACATCTTCCCCAAGTTTATTATAAAGAGGCATTAATTACAGATCCAACTAATCACACAAAGCTGACATGTATAGCATATAAAAAGCTTTTCATTGACAGAAAACCGTCTTCTCAGCTGCAATTATATGAACAGTAAGTGATAGTACCTGAAGGTGGCTAATAACGGGTCTGATTCCAGTGGGTCATCCTGAGGCTGTACCCTGGACTCCATCCACCTGTTTCATCCCAGAGGCTGAATATAAATTAAGTAGACTCCCATAGATGATATGCTTGTTCCATCTAAACACTTAAATTTCATGACTCAAAGGGGCAAATGATTAGTATTTGCTGCATTTTATATTAAAAATACACCAAGTGGAAGGACAACACATAGCTCTAGCCTCCATGTGACTTTATTTGCCACCACTTTCTCATGTGTAATATGTAACTTCATGGGTTCTCTGAGATTTTTAAGTTTAAAAGGAAAATGTTACATAGTGGGGAAATTTTGAGAAACAATCCAATTTTAAACCTAGCACACTTGCAAGCAGCTTTTGGGATCCTGCCATTCCTTAGGTGTCTGTTACATTATAACTGTTTTTAACTACAGCATTAAGATGATCTGTGTGCATGCCTTCCATTCCCCCAGTATTATCCATTTATTCTTTGTTTCTGGAGCACTATGGTTCGACCATTATTAAGAAGGCAACGTTTTATTACAATAGCAGTTTTCAGTGTGCACGTATTAATCAGAACTCTCAAAGAAGATTCATATGCCTTGTGAGAAAACATCTATTTGCATAAGAATATGCTACCAGCAAGCTTAGATATCTTATTGCTCGTAGTTATTCTTTTTTTACAAAATATAGTCAGATGAGCTGACTAAAACATGTAAGCATGGCATTTAGGATGCCAAGAGTGAGGTATCCCCAGAGGTTCAAAGTCAACCTGGGCTTTAGTATGAAATCTGTCTCAAAAATGTTCAATTATTTTAATGCAACACACATATATATGAGAAGTGAAGAGTCTATATGCTGACCATTTCTTTCCTGTTCGTCTCTACTCATAATTCTCTCCTCCTACATTTGTTGTTGGCTGTTTTGTTGATCTTTGCCATTCCGATGAGGGTAGGATGAAATACCAAAGTTGTTTTGATTTGCATTTCCCAAACTGCTAGGGACAATCAGCATTTTTCTCTCTTTTTAAAAGATATTTCTTAGCTATTTTTTTCTTCTTTTGAGAACTTGCTCTTCAGGGCCCAGGTCCATTTTTGAATGGATCATTTGTTTTATTTGCTTTTTAGTTCTTTATATATTCTGGATTTTATTCCTCTGTCAGATCTACATCTGCAAAGATGCTCTCCCATGCTGTGGCCTCTTCACTCGGTTGATGGTTTCTTTAGCTGTGCAGGTTTCTTTGATTGTTTGTTTGTTTTATGAAGTTCCATTTGTCAATCATTGGCCTTAAATTCTTGGGCAAATGGAGTCCTATTCAGAATGTCCCCTCCCACAACTATATCATGTAGAGTACTGCCTGTGTTATCTTTCAGCAGTTACAGTGTTTCAGATTCCAGGTTTTGTGCAAAGTGACAGATACATATTTAATTTCATTCTTATGCATGTGGACACCTTGTTTTCCCAGCACCGTTTGCTGAAAATGTTCTCTTTAGCTTATGTCTTGGCATCTTTGTCAAAAATTAAGTGGCTGAAGTTGTGTCGCTCATGTTTGGGTCTTCAAATTTGTCCCATTGGTCTACATGTCTGTTTTTGTTCCCATTTCATATTGTTTTAATTATTATGGCTCTGTAAAATATCTTAAGATTTAGAAATGTAATATCTCCATCATTGTTCTTTTTGTTCAAAACTGTTTAAGTTATCTGGGGTCTTGTGTAATTCCATATGAATTTTAGGATAGATTTCCCCCTTTATGTAAAAAAAAGAGATGTGGATTTTGACTGGGATTTCACTGAGTGTATTAATAGCTTTTGGAGAATGGTCATTTTTACAGTATTAATTCTATCAATGAAAAGAATTAGAATTGATAGACTTAATGGACATGGAATGTCTTTTCATTTTCTAGTATGTCTCTCTAACTTTCTTCAGAGGTTTAAAGTTTTTACTATTGAGGTCCTTCACTTCCCTGGTTAGGCTTACTCCTAGATATTTTGTTTTGTTGAGGCTATTGTGAATGGGAGTGTGTTCATGAGCTCCTTCTCTGTATATTTGTTGATGGTATATAGAAAAGGTGTCGATTTTTGCAAGTTGATTCTTTATCTTACCACATTGATAAATTTGTTTATCTTATCTCCATTTTCTGGTAGCACTTTTGGCTAAGGTGCAGGATCCCTTCTGTCAGAGGGGATGGTTTGACAACCTCTTCCCTATCCGTTTCCCTTCGATTTCCTCCACTTGCCTCATTGCTTGTTTTTCAGCTAGCACTTTGATCACAGTATTGAAAATGGCGGGGACAGTGGACACCCCTGTGACTTTCCTGATGTCAGTAGGGTTGCTTCAAGCTTTTCTCCACTTGGGATAATGTCGCCTATGGCTTTTATTATGTTGAGGTGCACTCCCTGTAGCCCTACAATCTCTAGGCCTTTCATCCTGAATGTGTGTTGGATTGTGTCAAAGGTTTCTACATCTATTGAGATGATCATTTGATCTTTGCCCTTAAGTCCATTCATGTGGTTTATTAAATTTATTGACTTGTAAATGTCAAACCATACCTGCATTTAAGGAATAAAGCCAAGTTGGTCATAGTGTATGCCTATATTCTGTTTGCAAGTATCCCATGAGCATTTTTGAGTCTATGTTCTTCAGGGATATTGGCAGGTAGTTTCTTTTCCTTTCTTTCTTTTCTTTTTTTTTTGTGTGTAGTGTGGTGTATGGTATGTGGTGTGTGTGTGTGTGTGTGTGTGTGTGTGTGTGTGTGTGTGTGTGTGTGTGTGTGTTTTTTACCTGGTCAAGGTATTAAGAGTTTGGGAGTGCTCCTTCTGATTGAAGAAGGACTGGCTATATATCTTCTTTGAAAGTCTGATAGAATTTTGTTTTGAATCCATTCATCTGGTCCTGGACTTTTTTTTTTTTTAATATGGAAGGCTTTTAATTACTATTTTGATCTCTTCATTTGTTATTGATCTGTTAAGGATGTTGATTCCTTCTTGGTTTAATTTTGGTGGTTTGGCTGAATCTAGAAATTCATTCATTCTTTTAGGTTTTCCAGCTTAATGGAGTACAGGTTTTAAAAATATTCCCTTACAGTATTCTAAATTTCTTTGGGAGTTATTGTAATGTTGCCCTGTTGTCCTGATCCTATTGATTTAAGTCCCCTCTTTCTTTCTTTTGGTTACTTGGGCCAATGACCTGTCAATTTTGTTCATCTTCTCAAAGAATCAGCACTTAGTTTTGTTGATTCTTTGGATTGTTTTCTTTGTTTCCATTTCATTGATTTAAGCTCGACTGGGTTTGGATTTGGTTTATTCTTGTTTTTCCAACTTTTTGAGTACTATTATTAAGCCATTCATCTGTGTTTGTTCTGATTTTTTAACGTAGGCACTTAGAAAGATAAATTTCCCTTTTAGAACTGTGTTTAATATGTTCCAGAGGTTTTGTTGTATTGTGCTTCATTTTTTACCTAGTTCCAGAATTTTTTTAAAATTTAGTTCTTGATTGTTTCTTGGACTCATTCTCCATTTAGTAATGAGTTCTTTAAACTCCACAAGTTTGTGTATTTACTGGAGAATTTAAAATTTATTGCAACTTTCAATTTTATTGGATTGTGGTCAGCTAGGATATGAGGAGTGATTTCAAACTTTTTGAATTTGCAGAGATGTTATTTGTATTCCAGGATATGGTCTATTTTGTAGGACTGTGTTCAATATGTTCTAGAGATTTTGTTGTAGTGTTTCATTTTCATGTAGTTCCAGATTTCTTTTTATTTAGTTCTGCTAAAAGTGATTTCAGTATGTGAAAAGGATCTAAGTGATCATGGGCTTCTGAATGCACAAATAAGAGAATTCAGCCCAAGGGACAAAGCTGGAATTAAAATACAAAGTATAAGATGTCTTGATTCAAACATTTTCAACTGTATTAGTTGACCTTGCAAGTACAGTGCACTCCACATTCTACAAACCACTGTGGCTAGGTGTTTGAAAGTCCTCAGGGGTGTTATTTGAGACGACAAACACATGAATAGTTACAGAATATTAGAAGAAAAGACAATTTTGGGTAGTAAAGTGATTCAGTAATGGCTAAGGAAAGGACCCCATGTCAGTAGTGCAACTTCATCCAGAGTGGCCAATAAGGATGACTTCCTTTGGTAAAAATCACTCTAGGTGAGGAGGTCGCGTGGCAAAAATGTGGCAGTGAACATAAGTACTTGTTAGTGAGAAGGGAGGCACATAGCATATTGAAGGAATATATTAAAGATAAGCGAGTACCCAGGAGATAGATAGATCAGAGGATAAAGTGAATTGGTCTGCATGCCTGACGACTAGCATTCTATCCCTGGAACCCATGTAAAGGTGGAGGGGGAGAAATGGCTCTACAGACTTGTTCTTTAATCTCCTTGAGTGTCATGGTACATGCATGTCTATGAATCTCTCTCTCTCTCTCTCTCTCTCTCTCTCTCTCTCTCTCTCTCACACACACACACACACACACACACACACACACACACACACACACACATGCATGCACATCTACATATACTCCACTGTTGCTTGGCCCCATGTGCTTTGGCAGAACATGTTTAAGGAACTGTGTAGAAGAGGATGTTTCTTACATCATAGTGGACCAGAAACAGAGAGAGGGAAAGGGACCATAATAGCCTTCAGTGGTACATCCTTGGTGACTTGCTTCTTCCTTATGGACCCTACATCTCCAAATTTCTAGCCCTTCCTAAAATAGTGCTACCAGTTAGGAGTAAGTACTCAACACATGAGTCTGTGGCATATTCCATAATCAAGCTATAACAAGGGTTATCTCCATATACAAACGCAGACTTCCATCATCACATAAGAATTCATACTGTCCTTGGCTCTAAAGATTTCTACCTGCTCCCATCTAGACACCCCAATGCCTAAATAGAGATGTAAGTGCGACTCTAAAATTAGAACAGTCTATCTAGAACAGGTTCTCTTATGGTCTATCGTTTGGGTTCCTTTATTCCCAGCACCCTGTCCTTGGCTTCCCATTTCCCACCTTTACTTCCTTCCTTCTGGCAGAGATCCACGACACACCAACACTCTCACTCTTTTGGGGTGCTGTTTTTTACTGTCATAGCCAGAGAAGACAAGAGCCTGGGCTGACACAAATTCAGGGCCTCTAGGATACGCTGACCTCTTGTGATGCCGAGAGTTGATCACGGTTCTCCCAGTCAGCTGTCCTTCTCTATCTTTCTCCATCACTTGGCGACCTAATAGTTCTTCTCCTCATGCCTTTCAAACCACCATTACTTTTGAGAAAGGATTTAAACTCTGGCTTCACACAAGTTACCCCAAGACACCAACAACTTCAATTAGCCTGTGTCCAGCGCTAACCCCTACACCTCTGCTCACCCTTGTTATATACCCACCTTTCATGTTCTTCTCAACTGTAGTCTGGTTTGTGCCCAACAGCTGCCCACAGCCTTTCACTACCACTGAAGTGTTTCTTACAAGTAGCAGTAGCCATAGTTCTTGAGCCAGTTTTCACTGTATAAAGTCCGCCATGCCTGACACTCACTCCTGCACACTCGTCTTTGCTAATTTCTGTACCTCACATTTCTGCAGTTAGCTCTCTGGCCGGATCTTCCTTCATCTCTGCTTGTCTGCTTTCCTCTTCTTCACTGTCTCCTTCACTGTTTATTCTCTTCCGGAAGGATACTTGTCTTGAGCCTATGCTCACCCCCCTACCTTCCCCTCCCCTCCTGTTCCCTCCCCTCCCCTTCCCTTTCCTTTTCTTTCTCATGGACTATCTCTATGAGGTACTTCAAACCCCTGGCTTTAATACAGTGACCATTGACAAAAATCTCCCAGTTGTGCCCTAAAACTCCAGCTAAACTCAAGACATGTGATAACTGAACATCTCCATTTTGACATCCCATTAGAGCCGTAAACATAACCTGTGCAACACAAAACTCACCTTATTTCCCACACATCCTTTTCCCACCTAACTTGGGCTGGTAGAAACTGGAGGCGTATCTGGGACTTTCCATTCCCTTCTCTCCCAGTGTTGAACTAGTTTCCACATGTTGCCAGTTCAGATTTCAATATCTGATCAGTCTTTACACCACACCTCCATGGACGTGGTCCCGGCTTTTAGGACTGCTGTTATTTCTGCAACAGCTTTCCAACCAACCTACTGGGTCTGGTTGTGCTTTTCTAAGCCAGTCTTTAGGATATCAGTTTCTGTCCTTCTTCTGTTTAAAATAGTCTATCCTCCAGGGCCGTTTTCTTTTTTGCCAGAGTAGATATGTACTACACGAAGCCTGTATTTCCGGCTTCTCTTGAGAAGTAAGGAGTGTCTGACTTCAGTGTAGCTGTTTCTTTAAGCCAGGGCCCCAGTGTGCCGAGCCCTCCTGTCTAGTCGGTCTTGCTTTCTACTACCCTGCGCTCTGATGCATGATGTCATCCACACGGAGACCCTGATGCCTGGAGACGCTCGAGTTGGCGACGCCTCTCCTGAAGCTCTTTTGCTTCCCCACCTTCTCCACCTTCATAGACGTCCATGCTCTCCTTCTACAGGTCTCCTCACTCTTCCCTCAGACATCGCCATCCTTAAGAAGCAGGGAACCTTCTCTCCCCTGTAAGCCCGGGCGTCACCTGTCTGTCTGTGTGGAGTAGCATTGTCGGCATCCTAACATCCGGCCCACTGCATCTGTTTCCTCCTGGGAGGCAGAGTTCGAGATTCCCCCTGCCCTCCATTTTTAGCACAAT